CCTGCTAATATTCAGACACACAGAAAGTTAAACATAACACCACTGCTGTGATCTGGACAGGGAAGTAAAAGCTGAAGCAGATATTTCACTCTTAATTTGCTGCCATTCAGGGGTCCTGTTGACAGGAGATGGAGCCTGGTTCAGCGGAAGAGACACAAGGTTAGGAATTTAGTAGGGCTGGATCCTATTCCTCCTTCCGCTGCTGCTCTGCTGTCTAATCCTGGGCAAGTACATCCCCTCCGGGCATCTGGTTCCCCTCCCTCCCTGATAGATCTATTTAAACCGCAAATTCAGAGGGGTGGCAACCATCTTGGTAATGACAAAGCATGTACAACACAAAGCACTCGCATTTCTATTAATAAATACTCTCACTACTCTCAAGTAATAAAACAAAAAATGTGATATAAACTGTGCAGTCAGTGATGCATTATATTAGTTTTGAGGTATTTGGGTATAAAACATGAAAGGCAAGCTCTCCCAAGTGGTGGTGGCCGGAGGACACCTATGTTGCTTTCCTGCATATTCAGTCAACCCAATTAGAGGTAATTAAGTTTTTAACTACATGAAATTACTTCAAGAATACCGTCACTAGAGGCTAAGACTCCTGGGAGGCTGGGGGAAGGGAGCAAGCAACATTGTAAAACTGGAAGGAACAAGAAAGGGACAGGGTATGCAGCCTGACACGTGCTGAAGAGAGCATGCAGCTCAGCCCAGGTAAGGCATTCATGTTTTCTACAAACATGTAAATAGCTGGGCCGCAGTCTCAAAGGCTTGCATGTTCCCAGTTCAATGAATTAAAGAGAACCTAAATACATTGACACTTCTAAGCTTTTTTAACTGCAACGGTGATGTAAAGCACAGATCTACAAGCAGCAAAAGGCTCCAACAGTCCTGTAAATACCAGCAACATTAAAAACCCTAAATTACTGTAATGAAATTAATTACTGTTGCATTTGCAAGCTGCCATTCGTGTGCAATGCATATGAGCACCTCTTTTACACATTAAACATAGCTTCACATTAAAGCCACCTCGAGTCCAGAATGGTCACTCCATTCACCAAGAAACAGAACAGTTCTATTGCCCGACCTCAGACTTGGTTTGCACACCCTGACAAGCCCTAGAAATACTAGAAATACATTCATTTCTGACAAGGTTTGCTCTTTTTGATAGCTACTAAAATCTAAGGTACAAGCATTGACAGAAAATAGTATTTTTAGCACTACTGCAACAGTTAGCACAACCGCAGCAACTATTGCTACAGTTTCCCTTGTAGCTTTTACACTGATTTGAGATTAGCTTTCATAACTGTTTTAAACATTCAGATATGCTCATAGTTCTTACTAAGATGAGCACAATGAACAGAAAACTCTGAAACACCTTCGCCCCTCACTACAGAGCAAATCAAATTGACCAGGGAGGCATGCTTCATGCACAAAATATACAATTTACTGAAATAGAATTCAAAAGTTAATAAGCAGACTGAGAAGAAAAAACAGCTTCCACTTGAAATGAAAAACAAACCAACCAACCAACCCCAAAATAAAGGGAAAAGTGAAGGAGACCCTATTCCCATGAGCTAATTGTCTGTCTTGTGCTATAGGGGATGCTCTTGCTTAGCTTACAAGTGAAAGACACTGCCTCCTCCCCGTGCAAGTATAGGAACTGCACAACACTAATATGACACGTTAAATGAGCCAACTTCCTTGAGCATTGCCCAGGAGACTAGAATGGGCATGCCCCAACTCAGAAACCGAGAAGCATGTCCGATTATCAGTCAGGCTGAAGAACATCTTTGACCAAGACCATCCCAAGAAAAACACTCATGTTCAGGCTGAGAAGAAAAAAAAAAAACCAGCATGGATTGCCACAACTGGCATATTTTTATAGCCTTTGTGTAAACACAAGCTTTGGATTAGCCAGCATCTCAGCTGGTTCTATCTGGATTCCCTTCTTTTGAAACAAAATTAAGGAAAACACTTGCCAGAAAAGGTCAGTGGCCAAGCTATTAGGAAAAAATAAAAGCACGGGGAAGAACATACATAGTGATTCATTAAACATGTGCTGCCAAAACTGTAACAGTGAGCACAAAGCAGACTTTTCACAGAAACTATACTTACTTTGCAGAACTCAGCCAAACTGAGCGTTAATTAGAACTGTATTTTTAAAGAAGTTCTTGGTACTCCCCATGGCTTAGAGAGGAACAAAGCCAAAGCAACCATAGTGTTACACCCTTGAAGGGCAGCGCAGTAACAGCTCTACACATTTCAAGTGTACACCTATGCAAAACAAATGGACTGAGCATCTCAGATTTCTAGAAAAACAATCAAGCCAGAAAATAAGCATGTCATAAAGTGCCCAGGTGGGAATTCACTTTACACGATCACTAGAATACACTACACGATCAGCCACCACACCAAGTCAGGTACAGTAAGCAATAATGTTTTTTACAAACTGTTCTGAGCTGAACAATTTGCATTTGACTACAGTAACTTTCCAAGAAACATCCCAGGCCTAAACCTGAAAACATCAATTAGAGATTTCACTTAATTGCACAGTCAATTTGCGCAGTACAGCCAATTAACCAGTGGAACATCGTGAACTTTAGGTCTTATTTGTTCCTTCAGTATCCTTGATCCTATGTGTTTAATTAAGGTTACTGACTTCTTACTACAGTTATTGTCACACTGTAATTGCAATTGATTCAGTATTTTCTGTGTTAAGGAAGTACTTACTGAAATTGAGTCATATCATACTGCAAATTGAGTCAACCATTCTATGATTCTATGATTTAACTTTCTCTTGAACAAGAGGCAGAACAGAGTACAAAGCATATCTTTCTGTCTTTGAATGGACTTTTGTAGCTCCTCTTTGAATTCTGATTTTTGTAATCAAAAACACAGTCAGCAGAACTCTCCAGTCCGAGTCTTCCCAATACTGCATTCAAAAGGAAAAGTCCTTTCCTACTTTATTGCTGCACTATTCACATACCCAACACCCCACCACCACGCTGTGGCTAAGGGTCGAATTGGTTTAGTTGCATAGCTAAACTTCCAAATCCTCTTCACAGAGCCTGTTATTTACTCTTCTATCTATAATTTTGTATTTAGCCATATTAAAACACATTTCATTCAAATGAGGCCAGCTTGTCAAAGCAGCCCTGTAAACTGCCAACTTGCATATCATCCACAGAAATTCCACATTTGCTTCAAAACAGTGAACTGCATCCTAGCCGAACATCCACAGAAATATTCCCATGCTATGGTAACAAACAATTACTTCAGAAATTACAAGTTAGCCACTTAATTTGCTTATTTTGCAGAATCTCAGTATTGTTATTGTGTAATGTAATTTCTATATAATTCTAAAAATCAATGTCATGTAATAACTAAATCAAGCACCTTATAAAGAAAATATGGAAACATTCATCTTTCTCAAAACCTGTGATTTTATCAGTGTAAGTCTGTTTGGCTTGATGTAATCCATTTTCCATAAATATCTGTAACTAACACCAAATACTCCTATACTTAACTTTATTGTTAACTGTACTTACTCTTTATCTAGGACTGAGGTCAGGGTGGGGTTTTTTTTGTTTGCCTGGGACTTAAATTAAATTAGGCATCTACTCAACACTTTCTGAACTCTGACAAAGTAACAATCAGTTATCTGGAATATCCCCTATTATTCAAAACATCAATAATTAAATGTCATGATGCTAGAAATCTCCTCACCCAGGTCTTTCACCATTCCTGGATGAAGTTTATTTAGGGCTGCAGATCTGAAATTACCATTAATGCATACTGCATTTAACATCCATATAGAGATGCATTAGAAAGTACTTCCATTATCCCCATCATGTAGTATAAGACCATCTTCTTTTTCCCAGAAGAAAGGCCAACAGCTTTAAGAAATTCTGACAATATATTTAAACAGCAAGAAGTAGTACAGGCATTCAGTTAGAACTGTTTTAAACAGAACAACCACCATTTCTGTCCACCAGCTTTTCTACACAAACAGAAAAACCCCCACACTCTCACATTTTAAAAGCAAAAGGAAGAAGATACAGTTTATACTACAGGAAAACAAACCAATCGGCACAACTTTGGAAAACCTGGAACTACTTGGGGAGGTAGAGGAGGGAATGGGGGGAAAGCTGCAAGCACTTCTACATTGTGAACTCTTTTGGGGATAATGAACCCAGCACAGACATCTCTGACAAAATAAATTGATTAACTGATAGAAAGCTAATTTGATGCAAGGGTTTTTGCTTTGCTGACTTTTTGGTCTGTTGAGGAAGACACGTATCATTGGTTCTTTTCAAGACATCATTTACCATTATCAATTCTAAAATACAAAGTCTGAAAAAAGTGCAGGGATTTAATGAAACAGCAAACCAGTAAAGTGCAAAAGAGATCAGTAACTTCACGCTCCCACCCCACCATTATCTCCAAACTTTACATTTCCACAGCCAGGCTGATGTATACTTGTACCTTGCCATGATAAAGAACAGGAATGATGACAGATCTTTAGCTGTCACCACAGCACTAACAAATACTTGTTGATTCCTGGAATCTAGTAACAATGAAAATATCGTTCTTAACCATTTGGCATCACTTTTTAAGTTGTCTGTCTCATACTCGCAGATTACTCCAGTGCTTAAAGTAAATCTGAATAAAGTGCAGCCTGTTCTGGAACTTCCAGAATTGGTACACAAATGATACAAAAGTAATTTAAGAACAACGTAACTTTGCAGAGATAAAGATATAGCTTGTTTTTTGGTAACTATGCAATGAAAATATTTAATATATTCCAACTAGCAGAAGGATTAAATTATTCAATTAATTCATAATTACTTATTTAATTGGAAGAGAACAGTCTATTTCATATAATATGAAACTTAGGTTTAAGGGAACTCTACACTTCATATGAGGAAATCATCAGTCTTTTGAAAGGCATTGAAAAAAAAAAAAAAGAAAGAAAGAAAGAAATAAGCAAGACTTACCATCTTGATCCCAGTGGAAAATGTGATTGGTCTGACCTGGCTGGGTTTTTCCACTTGCATTTCTAGCTGGGTAGATCTGTCCTTATGCTGAGCTAAAAGCAATGAAGCAGGAAGATTGGACCTCTCCTGTAAACATGAGGAACAAATACTGAATGCTAAACCAAAAAAGTGTTAATTAACACTGCATATTTTTCAAAACTGCAAGCTGTGCTTGAAAGGCCATCACCAGCAGAGCAGCATAATGCAAAGTATCCTCTCTATAAGTAACAGTTTACAGAAAACTATCATTTTCAGTAATAAGAAAAAGCTGCAGCAACCCCATAAATCAGTGTAACCTGCAAACAACCATTTTTATAGAATCCACATTAAAGACAATATAACAGGCTCCTTATTCCAACTGGCCAATGCAACCATATTTATTAAAATAAAATTTAAAAAAATTAGAACTTAATCAGAGAAGGAATAATACCAAGCATTATAACTTGGATCAGATGTTTATCTAAGACACATTCTTTTTACCAATGAACTCAGACCAGTTTGAAATTGTTTCCCATTAGATTTCACCTGAGGCCGTTTGGAAGCGATCCTTGCTCTGCTTTGCACAATGGCACTATTGTGAGTGCAACCAACAGCATATTTATTTTCTCCTTCACCAACTTATTTTTAGGGAAGCCAGCCAATTTAAAAAATAAATATATAAAAAGTAGTAAAATGAATAGTTAAGCAAGTGAACTACTTAAGCTCTCACAACAGATTGATTATTAACATACATATATGTAACTGCATTCTTGAGAGTCAGAAAATTATAACCCAAGTAATTTTCTAATGAACTAATATGATTATCCACATGCACCCTGAAATTCTGAAGACTTTCTAGCTAGAATGACCCTAAAGTTGAGAGCAGGGAAGAAGTTCAGATGGATTCTTCCTGGACTGCTCTAGAGCAGTATTTTATTCCTAAGGCCTCAAATGTCACACAGACTTCCGTTTATGGTTCTGAACCATGAACCATATTTGTTACTCATAAAACCAAATAAACTTTAATAAACTGGACTGTGATTTTCACTTATTCATTTCAGGGTACGAAGCTGTAAGTTTTTAATGCTGCAGGATGTTTTGCTGTTCATAGTATCCCAGAAAAAACTTAAGTTATCATGAAAAATGGTCATGTTTTACACTGACTTTTCACATCACTCTCCAATTCTCTTTCCTCTCCATTTTTTATGACATTTCCTTTGTCTTACCACTAGATTGCAAGTGCTAAAAGCAGAAAAATCTCCCATGGTAAGATCTGGTCCAGAGTCACAAATATAACTATGGCACAGCATCCTACTCACACTTCTATGATTAAGTAGGAGACGGGGAAGGAACTGCAGTAATGAGACATCTAATTTTTGTATAACTGGAGAAAATTTGGACCACAAATGAACTAGTTTACAGTCTGAACCCTCAAGGTGTTGTACATGTCCGTAACAAACATGCAGCAGCATGTGCTGCTAGCTGTCACCAGAGTTTAAGGATGTTGGACTCTTTCAATCATCAGATTTAATATGCTTGGGGAGAAGTGAAGAGTGGGAAGCCTTGTCTGGTTCATTTTGCCCTCTCATATTCCTTCAACATTCACTGCATTTCTAACACAGTATCTAAAGGAAGAGAATTTTTCTACCAACTTAGAGTTCGTACAATGGCCAGTAACCAGATTACACAACTGTGGGAAACCCACACCATGCCAGCAAGCCACCACATCCGTCATTGTTTGTCCTTTCAAATATGCAGATAACCCTTCTGTTAACTATTAACACACATGAAAGGTCCAATCCTTTATGCCTTTATCCATACTAGCAATTCTCTGTATGGGAAAACTAACAGTATGAACAAAGCTAGTTATATGCAAAAATTTGACAGATTTCTCCCAACATTCCTGAGGTCCTAGTGACAGTGGGAACACTTGATGTCTCTGAAGCACCTTACTTGTCACCAAGCTATGCTCCAGCCCAAGAAAAATCTGCCTCTTTGCCATGAGCATCAATGCCATTTTGTTCATGCCTGGGAAGTATGGGCTCTTAAAGAGGAGACTGCAAGTCACACAACACAGAAAACATCTAAGAACAGATCTATAATCCTCTGTACACAGGTGAGAGAGTTTATACAATAAATAAAAGGAAGTGCTTTAATATTTTGCTCAGCCCTGATTATCCAAGTCTGGAAGGTTAAAAAAAAACCCACCCAAAACAAAATATACAAACAACTCTCCCAGTATGTAAAATGCATTTGAGACTACAAGGATAAATGTTGTGCTTTTGACGTGAGAGAGTTTATTGTGAAAGAAGTCACTTACAGTGAAGGTAGTATAAAATCAGCCTAATTTAGTACTGGGGGGCAAACCAACTAACAGCCTAGGCAAAGCACCTGATAGCTCTTCCAGTAGCCTGTAGAGCCTGAGCCACCAGCAATGCCTTGCTCACCTCTCCAGCAAGTGACACTGGCCTCCCCAACCCCCGCTCTCCACTGAGGACAGGCTCATGGAGCCTTGGCCCCAGGTCTATCCTTTCTGCACAAGCCACTGCACCCTCCAGGCTGACCAAGAACCAGAGCCTGCTGCGTGACATTTTAAATACCAAACATTTCTGTGCCCTTTTCCCTGCCTCTGGACTATATAAATTGTAAGATTTTTGAAGATAGGATGATATTGTCAGGCACTTTTATAAACAACTGAGACCTTTACTCAATATGATAACACTATAACTAACACATACAAGAAACTGAATCTCCTCACTCATTAGGATTTAAGCACTAAAACTGAAATTCTCTTTGTGGAAGAAGAAACACCCGACATCCCTACCTGCATCACTCAGATTTGTCTTACATTTTCTCTTGCTGCCAAGGGAGAGGGGAGAGGGGAACATCGGAACAAATGAACAAACCATTTCCTCCTGGATTACGAGGACTTCATTCAGCTCTGCATCTCTGCCATCCAAGCTCATGGAACTGAGTACTCTAAGGATGGCTGGTGTGACTATTAAAGACTGAGGCAAAGGCAGCATTAAGTACCTCAGCCTTTTCCTCATCCTCAATCACTAGGTTTCCCCTAGTATCCAGTAAAGAACAAAGGTTCCCCTTGGCCCTCCTTTTGTTGCTAATATATTTGTAGAAGTATTTTTTCATTATGTTTTATGGCAGTGGCCAAATTTAGTTCTATCTGTGCCTTCACCTTTCTAACTTTCTCTCTACATAACCTAGCATCATCCCTGTAGTCCTCATGGGGTGACTGTCCCTTCTTCCACAGGTGATAAATCCTCCTTTTTTCCTGATTCAAGCAATATCTCCCTGTTCAGCCAGGCTGGTCTCTTCTCCACCGGTTTGATTTTTGGCACATAGGGACCACCTGCTCCTGTGCCTTAACTATTTCATTTTTGAAGAGTGTCCATCCTTCCTAGACCCCTTTGTCCTCCAATAATGTTTCCCAAGAAAACCAGCATCCTGAACAGGCCAAAGTCAGCTCTCCAGAAGTCTAAGGTGAAGGTTTTGCTGACCTTCTTCCTGACTTCTTCAAAGATTGAAAATTCAATCATTTTGTGATCGCTTTGACCAAGATGGCCTCCAACCACCATATCATCCACCAGTCCTCTGTTTGTGAGCAGCAAATCTATCCAGGCATCTCCCCTAGTTGGCTCATTAACCATCTGGGTCAGGAAGTTATCTTCTATACCCCCCAAGAACCTCCCGGATTGTTTCTTCTCTGCTGTATTGTACTTCCAGCAGACATCTGGTAGGTTGAAGTCCCCCATGAGAACAAGGGCAAGTGATTATAAAACTTCCCCCAGTTGTTTGAAGAACGCTTCATCTGTAGCTTCATCCTGGCTACAGAGTCCTACCAGGATATTTGCTTGGTTGGACTTCCCCCTGATCTTCACCCACAAACATTCAGCCTCCTCACTCACAACATGGAGTTCAAGGCAGTCGATGCACTCCCTGACATATAATGTAACCCCACCACCTCTTTCTCCTTACCTATCCCTTCTGAAGAGTCTGCAGCCATCCACTGCTGCAATTTCCCCATGCTCCGCTGCTAAAGGTGTCCTCTCCAGAGCTACTCATCTTGTCAAATCAAAAGAACCTAATCCTTGTTGGTTTAGCACAGTACTGACGAGAGATACATGATTATTTTGTCTTTTTAAATGTAATTCTTTACACTGCTACTACTTATGCTTGGCTTTTGCTGCATTTCTCAATAAAGTTTTACTCATGATCAGCTTCATTTTCAGATTTGCAGCACAGCATTAGAGGGATTCAGAGACCATAAGAGATGTTTATATGTTTAACAACTGCTGTTTTTCCTGAGACTTGGTAAGCCATTATACAAACAATTCAGTGCTGGTTTTATAAACCTTTAGTATTATGAAACAAGTTTCAGCTCAAATTTAAGTTGACAGTGCCCCTTGATAAACAGAGACAACTTAAAAATGCTCAGCTTCCTTCCTCAGCCTTTAAAAATCACCTTTCTGTTGTTTTTTTATTATTAAGGTAAATTTTCATAGCAATACATGTGCAATCACAGTTAAAACTACCAAACAACCTATTTTGGTCATGTTTTAGAGATTACTTATAACCATTCTTTCCGCAAGCCATCTGGTGAAGTAGGTTTCCAGCAAAACCAACTGCTGTGTAAAGTAAATAAGAAAACAAAAAAAATAAACACACCACCACTGGTCTCCAGTAGTAACTTAGGAATGTAGTTGAGAACAGGATTGAAGTAAGTCGAAAACAAGTTCAAAACCCCTGTTCTGAGCCATTAAATTCAAGCTCATAGTGGAGTTTTTATTCCTTGATCCACTACTCAAACTATTCATAATCGCACGGACTGTAAGCATGTTCCACTTTAAAGTGCAAAGAGACTGCTGGATGCAAAGTTACAGACTTGAAGGATTTTCAAAGAACCTTTCTGCTCATCTCTGCTTTTGTCTACAAAAAAATAAACACCAGCTCCTATCACCAAAACCAGTGATAGGTTGCTAGGACTCTTGGTTTAGAAAAAGGCATCTCTTCAGGAGGCCATGAAACACCTAAATTGCAGATTGATGCTCTCTCTTCATATCAGTGCCTTCTGCACTGGTTCAAAGAGGAACTCTACCTTTACAGGAAAAGCAGAAAAGCATCTGTATCTTGAGTAAGAACTGAGAACACAAAACAGGAATTAACACTATATAAACGTGAGATAAACCAAAATAAGAGAAATTCTGGTTTAAATCTGCCAAGCAGCTGTAAACCACATTGACATAGCTGCATACATGTACCAACTTAGTAGCTCCCTTACCACCCTCACAAACTGCATGACCAGCCATACACTAAAGCAGATGCAACTGTCATCAGCTGAAGGCAAACGAAGCAGGCAGTTCCATGGCCTCAGACATGACTGAACCGCACACATCTGCCATCAGGTTCAATGTGGAGTAGTCACCATATCAGCTATGCTAATGCAAGCCATCCTTGATCACAATGTCTGTGGCTGTCATATTGTCAATGAATCAAACAGAAATCTAGACTTTTATACCAACTTTTCTTCTGATATGCAGTCAAATGTCAACTAATATACAAACTGGTAGAGTGGCTAGATACATGAAAGTAATTTCTGAAATATACCTCCACATGTCAATTAGCAACAGGAAAAGAGCTTTCAGTGGAAGCTCACTTGGAAAAAAAAGGGTAAAAAAAAAAAGGGTAAAAAAAAAAGGAACACAAAAATCAAACCAGGTAGAACCAGGAAAATAGCTTTCTTCAAATACACAAAAAACCTTCTTCATTTTACTTTGCTAGAATCTTATCCAGGATAAATTTTGTGTTGAAACAGCCAAGATGCTTTCCTAGAATTAATTTCTAACCAGCATTGGACATTCTGGACAATGAGTCCAACCAAGTCCATGAATCCCAGAAGCATTCTTCCTCTATCCTTAGTTTACCAAAACAAGAGTTGTTTGTAATATTGAAATGAATAACAAGTGAGAGAACAGTAACACGAAACATGCAAGACAGGGAAACAGAAAGAAGCAGGTGTGTTAATGCCACAGACTTAACCATAGTAGAGATTAATGTCAATGTCCTTGCTGTTTGTGCTGCTACTGAGCCTTCAAAGCCTCTGGTTTGGTTACTCACCAGATCATCCAAGAGCGCCTGCTTATTCTTCTTTTTTAGGATCTGTTGTATTTGTTCTTCTTTCTGTATGAGCAGTCGCCTTCGTTCACTTTCCTGTCGCTCTACCTCTAACGCTTCTTCCAACTCTTCCTGCTCCCGCGTCTGAAACATAAGTTAGATGATTGTGGATGATAATTCCACCTACTCTTATTGTCCAAAGCAAACTTAGCCTTGCTGCTCTCTGCAGCTGGATGTAATAATCTGTGTCTTGGTTCTTTATATAGTAGAGGATGACAGTGGGTCACGTTGCGATACATTCACTCTAGAATGAACCCCCCTCTGCTTCCACACATCCTACTTCTCATGTGACATATGTGGGGTGACCGAAAATATAATCCCACAATACCTGATCGCCACCCCCCACCAGCTGCATCTTCTGTGCAGGTGACACTGTGCTTATCAGCGGTGTAGGAGAAAAATAAGCAATTACAAAGCTGTGAATATTAACAGAGAAGCTTATAAGCTAGAACATATATAAGCATGAACTTTAAAAATGTCACATTGCCAGAAAATGAGGAATTTTTCCTATAACCTGGACTGCAGTCATGTGACACGAGATGAAAAATAAGAGATTACTAGTACAAAATGACTAGTTTTTGTTTCAGGATTTACTTTTTGAGAAGCCTTTTTTAACCTTCTTAATAATCTGTATTTGAAAATCCCACTGAAAGAGGGAGGAAAAAAAAAAAAAAGGAAGGTTCAGAGAGAGGGGAAAATAAAAGGATTAAACCATTTATACAGAAGAGGAAACCAAAAGAGCACCAGTTTGATTGTCAGGGGTATAGGACAAAACACACAGCAAACATTTTCCAAATTTTCCCCACCAACAAAATACTAAAGCAAAGGGAGATTCAGTAAAAATGCAGAAATAATTAAAATTGTATAAAACTTAAAGAGGTTATTTACTGATGGAAGCAGCTTCAGCCAAACATCATTGCAGCCAAGAGCTTGGTAAAATTCATTTTTATAAAGTTGTATCATAAAGCATAGTTAGCTGATAGAGGCCAGAATATGCTGAAAAACACACCTTCACCAGGCAGATCAAACCAATGGGTCCCTGTGAGGCCCAGTTACTCCTGAACGCAAGAGCTGCCAGATCTCATCACCTGTCACTGAGCCAACAGAAGGTGTTTTCATTTTAAAACTATTTATAACTAATTATAGCAGTGACACTGGAAAAGAGCTGGTCACCAACCAGTGATCACCTGAAAACTGGATTCTCTTTGCATTTAATGACAGGAAACAAGCAAACAAGAAAATCCCCAATTTGCTAATTGAGGTTATTTCTGAGAATTACGGGATTTAGTTAGTTCAGTCAACAAAACCAAAGAGCTTAGAGTCTCAAAGACATTCCAGGCCTCTTCCACATTTATGTGTAAAGACTGCCTGGAATTTGCACTGAAACAGAAGAAAGCTGGTAGGGAAGTGCTCGAAGACCTAGCCTGAAGAACCAGCCCCAAAAAAGTTACAGTCAGAAATAAGTAAACTGATGTAGAAACCTAAACCAGATCAGACTACAGGAAAGGAAGAATTATCACAAGTCAGATCAAATTCCTTCTGAAGGGAAGACCAAACAAAACATTAAAGAGAAGGGAGAAGAGTTCAATAGGCAGTGATGGTTGTGTCAACCTTGAAGATAATCTAGACACAGTCTCAACATCTAAAGAAAAAGATGATCATGGTGAAGCCTAGAGGAAACTCAAGATGACACGTGCAAGTAGTAAACAGAAAGCATAATAGTGTTTCACCAGATTCAAGGAAGGACCATCAAGAAAAACACATTCACACCACGGAGTTCAGACAAAACTATTTCAAGACTGAACAAAGCAGCAAGTGCAATTAAACATCTAGTGACAAAGCAGGAAGTAACAAGCTACCTATATGACTGGAGAACAGCAGATATTGAAGGAAAAAGGCACATTTGGGAAAACCGTAGTCCACTCAGAGTGCAAGACTATATACATATAGATAAGCAGTATTTATAAGTGTCCTGGTTTTGGCTGGGATAGAGTTAATTTTCTTCCTAGTAGCTGGTGCAGTGCTGTGTTTTGGTTTTAGTCTGAGAACAATGCTGATAACACACTGATGTTTTAGTTGTTGCTAAGTAGCGCTTACCCTCACCAGCAACTTCTCAGTCTCATGCTCCACCAGTAAGGAGGGGCACAAGAAGCCAGGAAGGAGCAGAGACAGGACAGCTGACCCAAACTAGCTGAAGGGGTATTCCATACCACAGCACGTCATAACCAGCATATAAACTTGGAGGAGTCATCCAGGAGGACAGATCGCTGCCTGGGTCAGGCTGGGTATCAGTCAGCGGGTGGTAACCATATTGTGCATCATTGCTGGGTTTGGGGGTTTTTTTCCCTTTCTCCTTTTAGTTTTATATTCTCACCCCTTGTTTCCCTTAGTAGTAGTAGTATATTGTACTTTATTTTAGTTATTAAACTGTTCTTATCTCAACCCATGGGGTTTACATTCTTTTGATTCTCCTCCCTATCCCCTCTGGGATGGGGGAAGAAGTGGGTGAGCAAGCAGCTGTGTGGTACTTAGTTACCAGCTGGGGTTAAACCACAATAATGATACATAAAAACCAATTTATAACAAGAACCTCTCCTCCACGAGTTCTTCACTTTTTTATCCAAACCTGTCTGTTTAAACGCCTTTTCCACATGGTTCTGCATTAAATCTATAGATCTAACAGATGAGTTAGTACACAAGTAGCAAGGTCATTAGGAATGGGCTACAGAGATGAAAACTAGGGCTTGTATTGACAGAAGAACAAGCAGTCACTCAAATCCTGAGGTGGCTGTTTCACTAACCTAATATTTTGATTTTTAGGTAAGAACGACATACTCGTGAGAAGTAGCAGAAGTAAGATCAAAATAATTTACAAGGCCATAGATTTAGAGACAATAATTGATCGGTTCAAAACCAATGACAAAAAACCATGATGCACTACTTGACCACTACCAATTTTTAACCTCCTACAATAGTGTTACAAGTCTTGGGATCATGTCAACATATTTCCAGTAAAGATGGGAAAACAGTGTTCTTTTATAAGAGGCTGTTAAGATCTCAGCTATGATACTGCTTTCAATTCTGGTCCCTTCCACTTGCCAAACACAAATTCAAACTAAAACAGGCAAAAGGTAACAAAAGCACCAACATGGACAGAGAATATCTATTAATATTCCTCAGAAGCAAACTATTACAGTGGACAGGAAAATCTATGAGTCCAAGAATGAAGGGACAATGACTGGCTATAAGAAGTTCAGGCAACAAATTAGGGCACCTTTTACCATTTATGGAGTAGAGACATTCCAAAACCTGCCAAAAAGAGCAGCTCCTGGGAGAGGGGTAAATTTATGGGCAAGATCATGCAGTTTTTGTAATAGCAACTGCGTCAAGTCTATTATTAAGTTTCAATTGTTGAAAAAGAAATGTTGAATGTTTCAAATGTTGAAAAAGAAAGAAAAAAGAAATGTCTCCGGATCTCCAGTAAGTCTGTATTCACGCACACTTGCACAGCTTCCACCAGACAGCCTCTAGGCACAGCAATACCCCACAGTACAGAAAACAGAAGACCCAGGGGGCTTGAGTGGGTCCAGAGTGTAACTGTGCTGCTCGATATGATCACACAGCAGCGCAAAGGCTGTCTGTGAGTCACATACAGGAACAGAAGGTGGGCTGCAAGCAAAGCGCCCTCTTCTCACTGTGACCCTAAGAGGTTGCACCTACATTGTAAAGACATGTAGCCAAAGATTTGGCAGGTCTCTTCAAGCTCTGAAGCATAGGATATTGCACAGTGTCAGAGACAGGACAACAGATCAGAGATGGACCCCTAGGGAAATTTCCTTGCCTTTAAAAGGAAGAGGTTCAAACAAACATTTTTCAGATTCCAATCTCCTCCTGTGAAATGCTAGTGCTAAAGAAATCACTAGAAGTTTCACCACAGACTTCAGGGGAGTGAGGATTTCTCCCCTACTGATTTGAAAGCAAGTCCTTAGTGCAACTGGAATACAAACAGAAGACCTTGTTATGTCACACTCTGGGCAGACATTTTCCTCCAAGAACTGGTAACAATGTGTATTTTTATACCGAGAAAATATTTAACAGATTAAACTTTTCTTACAGAAAGAAACACTCACAAGTTTATTTTTAAAGAACAAAATGATATCTAAGCTGTATTTTAATGAATAAATCTTCAAAGAACCGTATGTTTTGCATACAGATCATATATACAATTCTCTTGATGTTATTGTTACCAGCTCTTGAACAAAACTTTTAATGTTTGTTTCAACATCTTTCATTTTAAATTTTGCATAAACCAGATCCATACTTTCCCTCAATTTTGCAGTTCTCTCCTGGGAGCTTCACAATGTCTGTGTCTGGATTTCTTTCTTCCTTCAGATGAGAAAGGGATGATTGTCCTGGTATAGGAATGAACTTTGTCTCTCCTGGATATTGTCCAACAACACTGCCAGCACGCATGCAGTGCTGATGTATTAGATGCAGATTTTACTCCCTGCCCTTCTTTTCAAGCCCTTCCCAAAATAAAGCGTGACTACATTTCAACTATCAGTGTAGCCTCTTTACACAGCACTAAATATCACTATCACAGAACATCAGCATATTACAGTTTCTAAATACAAAGTGAAATCTGCATAATGCCTTCAGCTCTGACTTCGTTTTAAGACATTACAGAAAGTACTTTGCTTCAAAAATCCTCTAATTCTGTAACTAATGAATAAAAATTGTAGGGCAGAGGAGAAGTTAACTAACCAGTTTTATCTTATTTTTCTGAATGACTTCTTTGTTATCCTTCTGGTACAGTTCCATTTTCCTTTTGGTGTTCTCCAAATCCACATTGTTGGTCAAGTTATATACTACATAAATATTAAAAAGACAGAAAGCAAAAGTATTAGGTCAGCATGCATGACTATGACAAAGAAATACTACTCTTTATGTTCTCTATCCCTTCTAGCACCAGATGCAACCACCGCAACAACAGAATTCATTTAAATATGCCCTGCAAATAAAGACACAACCTGCTAAACACAACCTCAGCTAGCAAAGCTCTTTTAGGTTTATACATCTGTAGGAGACAACAATTTGAGCCTTGCATCCTATTTTGTGATACTGATAATGACATACATGAATAATATTATTATTCGTATTATTTGTAAAACATTGACCTTTTCAAGTAGCATTACAGCTCAGAACAGTGAATCCTGTAAAATGAGATTAGACTAAACACATACATATTAAGACACGGTTAGAAATTATGTCATTCCATTTCGTAAGATTATCTAATGCACAAAGACTAGATGCTGTTCAAACTCTCAGATATACAAAAAAATTCGTATTATTCGGTAACTTAAAATTACTTTTATTATGAGGAATCTGCAGATGCATCCCAATTCACAGGTTAAATGACATTTCTTTTGATGTCTCTTGATAGTGATAGACTATCTCACATAAAATTATGAGCAAGCAGGGTCAGCCAGCAAGCTTCATAGTTTAGCACAACATTCCCAATTATCTACACATTGCACAGAAGATACCTCAAGAAATTGAACAGTTTTTATCATCAACAGCTTGAATGATGTAGACAGTTTGGATGATTAGTAATTTGATACAATGCCTGAGCCTTTCACCTCTAGGTCACTGGTTCAGTTGTGGGTCAAGTGAATTCCAACTGAAAGCCATTATCACTGGGAAGTTGCTTGGTGATCACCATCCAGAGCGGATGCTGGGCTCATGCCCATGGCCTTAAAGCTATCGAAGACTGCAAACATGCAGCACTCAAAGCCTTGAAGAGCTTTTGTCACATGGCTACAGTAAATTTACAAGAGCAGCAGAGAGATTTGCCCAGCCATTGACAAATATCCTTCGCAAGAAAGTGCCATCGATATGCCATTGTGAAGTCAAACCCCGAGGAAGGGAAGTGAAAACCAGCACAGGACTTGCAAGATTATGGTTCAGTTCTCTAGGTTCTCAAGCAGCTAAGGCCAAATGAACCCTGGGCACATGCACTACTGCCAAGTCATTTGTATAAATAACGCTGCTAGAGAGAAATGGAAGGAAGAAGCATTAGGTCTGTCGTTACTTATCAGTGTAGCACACATCTCAGTTTGGTTAAGATTACATCACTTCTTTCATCCTCTCCACACAGCAGAAATGAGCTTTTAGAAGGGTTCTAGGTAAACTAAACCATGAATATCCTAGACGAGCAAATCAGTTGACAGTAGCTAAGGGAACAGCAAGAAATCAAAGCAGGGAACAAATGGGGGCAGGCAGAGAAAATAGGAAAGGTCCATTTTGCTGAAGTTGTGGGATACAGCTGGATTTGTAGAACTGAGCTGCACAGCAGGTCATTACTGCTCAAAAGGGGCAGCCCTACTCTTATGTCCCTCTTCCCAGGCACAAGTCTCACTCTTTCACCTGCTCTGACTACAGGACACCCCGGATACTTCGCAGTGTCAACAGACACCCTCCAGTAACCTGAACTGGCTCAACAAAGGGGTCAGGCAAGTGCCAGAGGTGGTACAAGGGAAGTACTAAAAGCGTACAGATGGAAATAGGAATACTCTCTTTTCAGGAGTACTGAACCACCACATTGTCTCACTCTGATCAAATGTATTCAGTCCTTCCTTGAACTGAAATAAAAGGGCAAAGCAAGATACAGCTGAAGAAATTCCTAACCTTAAGCAAAAAAAACCAAAACCCAGAGGCTGTATTTATTCCCCCACCTCTTTTCCTAATAATAAGCACAATCAACAGGACTGACATTTTAATTGAGGCTGGCTCCCAAATCAGCTGAACTCTTCCACCTCCACCCCACTACCCTCACTTCAGGAGGAAGATTTGGGATAGAGACTGGTTTTGCAGTTTAAGAATTTGAAAAGGAATTGATACCAAAGTTCAATTTCCAGCTTTGCAACTGTCCCTTGGCAGATAACTGGGCCTCTACACTGGAGGTCTCCCACCAGTAAGAATCAGGAGTAGAGGTATAAAGCTTCCTTTCTGTCGTGGTTTAAACCCAGCCGGCAACTTGGAACCACGCAGCCGCTCGCTCACTCCCCACCTTTTCCTTCCTCCCCCCGCTCCCGGAGGGATGGGGAGGAGAATCGAAGGAATGTAACTCCCACGAGTTGAGATAACAGCTCTCCAGTAACTAAGGTATAATACAAACCACTACTGCTACCAATAATAATGATAAGGGAAATAACAAGGGGAGAGGACACAACCGCTCACCGCCCACCGACCAATACCCAGCCCGACCCCAGCAGCGATCTGGGCCTTCCAGGTGACTCCCCCCAGTTTATATACTGGGCATGACGTGCTGTGGTATGGAATAGCCCTTTGGCCAGTTTGGGTCAGGTGTCCTGCCTCTGCTTCCTCCTGGCTTCCCCTCCTCTCTGGCAAAGCATGAGACTGAAAAAGTCCTTGGTCAGAGTAAACATTACTTAGCAACAACTAAAAACATCGGTGTTATCAGCATTGTTCCCAGACTGAAAGTCAAAAACACAGCACTGCACCAGCTACTAAGAAGGAGAAAAAATGACTGCTGTAGCTGAACCCAGGACACTTTCTCCTACAGATCATCTGCTGTATCTCTGTACTGTAGCCATATGCAGCACCTACCCCATAGTCTTGATCTCATCTCAGGTGGAATCTCTGGGCACTGCTATAACCCAAACAAGCCATTCAAAGTTCAGCTCCTCAGTTTCTGAAACAACTTATCCATTTCAAATGTTTTAGGGGGTTTTGTTGTTTGTTTTGGAGGATTGGGGTTTTTTTTGGTTTGTTGGGGGGGGGGGAGTGTCCCTTCTCCAAAAGGCATAATATTTTCCAACTTCATACTGCAACAGATACACACTTTCTGGTTGTAGCATTTTTTCTAAGACATATTATTTGAATTTAAATTTTTAGTATTTTAATGGAGATTTGACCTCCAAATTTCCATCCTATAGTTCCCAGCTGACAAGCAGCTTAATATTGGGGTATTATGGCAGAGAGGAATTGTCATGTGAAGATGCTGGCATACAATCACACCAGGGCTCTGCAATGACAGCAGCTGCATGGGAATGTCAGCACTTCCTAAATCCACACACCAGCTCTCTAAAATCTTCAGTGACGACACAAGAAAGAAATAGCATCTGAGAAACACTGTGCTAGCAGGATGCCCAGATGCCACCTTCAGGTGCAAGGGGAGGAGCACGAGGAGATGCCAAATGCCTCTTTAGGCTCCTGAACATCTTTGGTATTTCTCTAAAAATAATCCAGCAATAAGCTGGATCTATCTAGGTTTTGCAACCATTGCTACTTGAAACATTCAGGGTTTTTCTTCTCCTTTCTCAGTTACCTTTAATAGGTTCGACTAGTCAAAACTGGGTTTGTAAAACAAAAGCTGTAAGATTTAAAACTTATACTAGGAAAAGCAGGGAAGTTCTAAACATGTGCCAATACCTGCCTTTATTTAGAACTACTTACAAAAGCGCATTTATTTTGTTACTTGATATGAAGTAACATTTCCATGTAAGAGACATATTTCTTCATCTGTGTTTGAAAAATCTTCAGTAACCACCTTAAATGCCCGCTGCTCTGCTCGCAGCAAGGTGAAAGATGGTTTATTTCCCCTTCCGTTTTCCTCCTGTGGCTGCAACCAAGCTACAGGTAAAACCCTCTCAACAGTCACATCTGCTCATACCATGCTGATTCTGCTCTGTGCAGCTTACTCTACTCTGTCACTTGAGAATACGGTAGGACACCAGCTATTAGAAAGAGTCGTACTTCCAGCACCTTCAAAGGCCAGGGCGGATTTCTCCCACTGAATATAGATTCATAGTCACTGAAGAGGAACATTACTTTGGTCCTAAGCATCTGCTCCTCAACACTAAGTTATCCACATTTCAGACTTAAAATACCAAAGAGCCACATTTTGTTGCAACAGTGTTAAGTAAGACCTGTATGTCTCTATGTCAGGATCAACAGCTGTCCTTTAATAAATAAAAACAGTATCTTCCCTCCTACAACAAAAATGCCTGTGGTGGGAAGCTTTTATGGGCTTTTGTCATGTAGCTGTGGCAGGAAGTCTTCACAGGCTTTTGTCACATCTTTGCCAGGGCTTTTATCAGGGTCGGTGTATCTGCCAGTTTTGCCAGAAATTTAAAAAGGAAACATTTGGAAGAATTATATTTAAAATAAAAAATACAACAAAACAAATTATAAAACTAGAAGAACCATAAAGAGTTAAAAAACTCTAACTCATATGCTACACCTACCCTGAAAAAATATTGGTATAGATCTGAATATGACTGGCAAAGCAGATGGCTAGTTTGAAAAGGTTTCAAAGAGAAGCCAGACTTACTTTGTCCATGTTGAAATATAGCATAAGCCGATGTAAGTGGCCTGAAACCCTTCAGGGAAAAGAAACAGAAGCTGGTTTGTATGTAACAATTATTTATCTCTTATCCGTCTCACATTGGTTGGTTTATAAAATGACTTGCCTTGAGACATCTGTTGAAGTATAACAGGAAGACTATTGTGTTTTTCTGAAACATTTCATTCTTTTTAGGTAAAACTTGCTACTACTAAAATTCAGCCTCTACAGGGAGATTTTCACTGCTTTTTCAAAACAACAACATTCACTATGCAATTCTACAATAAATGGAAAAATATTTTCCAGTTAGAAAAAAGAAAATGAGACAAAAATACTAATTATATAGCACAATAATTTGTCTGGAGCCAGAGCACTACGAATGAATGTCACTCCACTGCAGGACTTTCAGACCATTAAAATCTCCCCAGTTTAGTCTAAGATACCGTAAATTTTCTGAGACTTCTCCTAAGTCCTTAAGAGACAAATATTTTTTACATGGTAACATTACTATTCAAACAGTAGGAACATACCCTGGCAAGATAGATGATAGTTACTCTGCTACAATGCAGATCTGTTTGATCTGCATTGCTGGTATAAGCCAGCTGAAACGTTAAAAATTACTAGTATCAGTTTGTCATAAACAACATTCCTCCCACTTTACTACAAACAGCTCCTTAATGATGATCATCATAAATCGCCAGCTCTCATCCTCAGTCTGCCTGGGGAGCCCAGAGCTACTGTGGCATCTTTGGTTGGTGACTTGGATGCACAGTCCCTGCACTTTTTAAAGGAGTAGGAGAGGTGTGAGGGGGAGATAAGATGGAACAGATTCTAATAGGTCCCCTCCAACTAACATTTCTGTGATTATAACAAAATAATTATCAGAAGCAAAAGAAAACCCACAGCTAAGCCAGAAAAATCTAGTTAGGCATTAATAATTATTTCTGTTTATCCTCAGTTTTCTTTTATTGGGTCAGTAATTTTCCAGAAAAATACCTTAGCATAGGAATAAATGACTGAAATCACTCAGCCGCACTGGTCTAAGAGATAATCATTTTGGCTGGAGCAGTGTGGTACCAAAAATCTGTGTTCAGGTGAGATGACTGAAATATATCTCTGATCAAGCGGCCCAACTTCCAGCTGGGTTATTCCCACTGTCAGGACTAGCAATACCACCCTCGTGCACAAACACGGAGGGGAAAAAAACCAAGCAAAACCACAAAACAATAAACAGCACAACCCACAAGTGATTACAGATACCAAAATTATTTTTATCCAAGGATCGCTTGTGAGATAAATGTTCTGTGCAAGACAAGTCACTAGGCAGCCAGTACTGCATAAAGTCTTGGAGGAGTAATGAGATACAGGAATCCAAACGGCATAAATACAGTAGCCTCCTTCCAAGTCAAATGTACTGAATGTTTTTAAAAAGCAATAATTACCATTAACAATTGTTTTGCGGTAATGCCTAGAGGCCTCACTCATGTATCAGGAGAATGCTGCCAGGCAGTGTGCACACACATGCTCAGAGGCAGGCTCTGCTCTGGAGAGCTTACAGGGAAGGTTTTGAAAAACTGGTTATGAAGATGCTTTGGGAAAGAAAGAAAGAGCGAAAAAAACTCTTTCCTTGTAGAAAGAGTGAGTAGAAACTGCATTATGTCCAGAGATTGTAACTTGTAACAACACTCCAAAGTTTAACCTTACCCCTCTCATCATATGGGCATAGACCCGACTTATTCCAATGGATACTGTACACGTCTTTCCAAAACGCAGGTTTTAACCCTTTCTATTTTTCTTCCTAGTGTTAATGACAACAAACTGTGTTTACAATGTTCTCAAATTGTCCAACTGATTTTTCTTTCTGGGGAAAACCTGCTTTAAAATGTGGTTTCTATTTAAAGCCTTGTATAACACATTTTAGCCCAAAGCATTATTTAGTGGCTACATTCTAAACCACTTCAAAAACGTGTTTTTTATAATAGAAATCTTAAGAGGTGACTACCCTAATGTTTGCTTGACCTTCACACACACACACACACGCTTCCGCTGTACCACCCAACTCTTTGCTTTAAATAGAAAAAGTCTGTAGGTATAACATGCCTTATATGAAGGGGGAAAATGTGTTTCAAGTGAGGTCATATATCACATCAATGGACTAAGACAGTGCAATTGCTGCAAATGTTGGAGCTGACATACCTGTAACATTTGGAAGAACTATCAGAATTGTGCCAGGATCACATGAAGTACATTTATACAAGAAGTTTACATTTTGTCTCTGCCAAGCAACTACTTCATTTAAACCACCACAACTTATTAAACAAAGCTTACCAGTAAAGAGAAAGCAGAGTAAAGCTGCACCTCGCCCCTCCCAAAGGAAAACTGAAAGTTTGGGGTAGGGGGAGAAAGGGGAAACCCAGTTCTCTGGCTCCCCAGCTTCCTTACCTGACAGCTTCAACAACCACCCCCAGACAACCTGCTGTACACTGGCTCCACAAGGCAGAACTGCACTGCATGACTACACCCTTTCTTTCCCACCTTCCAGCCTAATTTTTCACATGCACAAGCAAGCAGGGAATTCATATACACAAAAAAAACCATAAATAACTGCTCTCAGCAGTAAAATGTGAAGTAACAATACAGAGCTGAAGACACCTTTATCACATTGTTCAGTCGTGCCACAAGCAACATGCACAGCAAAGCCACTGGAATATTTCTAATAACGTAGCCATAGTCTTAAAACTGTCAAGTGGAGAACTCTGCCCATGAACACAAGCAGGAAAGTGCTTGGGGAGAACATGTGTGCAATGAGTTTTGTGACCAGGGAAAGGAGAACAGGGCTTCAATTCTTTCCCTAATCTAACCTGTCCTCTGGCTTCTGGATCTGCCTGAATGCATAAACGCATTCTGCATAAATGATCCCTTTGACAATGGTAAAATTAACAGCCTTCTGACTGCACCCCTTCTTTCCTCTCATCACCCTGGCTGCTACATGAAGAAACTAGGAGGTAGTCAGACTTACCACTCCTCTTAGTATTTTAGGTGTCCCTTTCAGGCAACTAACTCCAATTCCTAACTCTTTATCTGTTGAACTGCTTCATTATGCATTTGCAGGGCCAGCACAATTATTGACAAATTCACTTTTCTTCACAAGGTTACAAAGCCCAGCCATGATTTCTGCTGCTTTTAAATCAACTTACTAATGCCAGCTCTGGAACCATTTGAAATTTAACAACCTAATCCCAAGAGCTGGAGAACAGTAACATTCTGCAGAAATGGATGAGGTTAAGGCAATTTCAGGCAAAACTTCAACTCCCTTGTTGCAGATGCTAAAAATCCCTGCAACAGCAGTAAGTAGGAAACCTATACTTAATGCTACATAAATAAAAAGCAGTTTTCCTTCCCATGAGCACAGAGATTCTTCGAGGATCCTCTGGCTAAAATGTAACCATTCTTTCTACTCATTTCCTCCTTTCCCCACAACATCCAAAAAAATATGCAAACAGAACTACACCCACATCATCTCCTCCAGATATTTGGAGCCATATGAGTGCGCCTGGTGTTTCCCAGCCACAATTTAGCTCTCCAGCCTCATATTTCTGAGGCCAACAAAAACACAATGCATTACTCACAGCAATAAGCATACTGGATACATTTCTACAAAACACCACAGTGCAAAGAGGACCAAGGGCTCCTCTGAGAAACTGAAAGGGAGTGGTATCTCCGCATTTTCCTTCAAATCACATTCACTGCCCCTCCTGCATGTTCTAAGCCACCTCTTCTTCCTCCAGGACACAAAAAAGGAAAAGCCTCAGAAGCTCATAAAAATAAGAAACAAACCATTTAGGAGTCACTCCTTTGAACACATCCTTGTTTTTCTAAGCAAAATCCATCACTCCACCATAAATCACAAGTTGCCCTAACTAAGAAAAAAATAAACTCTGTTGATAACATAGTCCCTTCCCCAGAGGGCAAAGTTCTGCTTCAACTAATCCAAAGAGAAAGAAATCAATGTCTGTTCCTAAACTTTCTCCTTCTGCACAGCAACATAAAATGCTACCACAGTGGTATGTAAGGTCATCAGCTTCAAAGCAGCTTCAACTACTGTACTTGAAAAAGCAAAAATGATGAAAGACACCATATGGCTTCTGTCATGGTAGATAAAGCTAATGGAGGCATATAATGAAAATTACAATTCCTCTTCTCTCTGTTTAATCTTTCCCAGTGCAGCACAGACAGCCCCCTGCAAGCCTTTCCTTTCCAGATATAAAGCACCGCTTCCACTTCAAATCATGTTTTTTTACCTCTGGTAGATAAAATATTTTACTTAATGTCCTACAGTTCAGCAAATATGATTAAAAATGTACAGAAAAAGGTAACTAGACAAACATCTGATACTATGATAAATCCTATTACAGAAATTCAACTTGGACATTCTCAAAGGCAGCTGAGTCAGAAGGTAAAAGGCTATGGTCTCATGAGCACAGCACATCAAAAATGCAAGCATTAGGACTTACCAATTTCTTCTATTTCTTCCAGGAAATCATTATATTCACTTAGACTGGGAAAGTCATCCTCTCTTTTATTGTATCTTTGAGAGAAGAGAAACAAGTGTTTATATAAACACACAAAGATGTGATTTCAATTCAACAAGGCTCTTGCTGCAAGCCAATTAAGTATTGACCTAGTTTTATTAGCAATCTGCTTTGCTGCTCCTACAACTGACCAACAAACAGAATCCTTAAGAGGAGACAGAAGTGCTTCCTTCAAAGGAAAGGAGCCAGTCTGGCATAGGTAGGTGCTATCTTTGCCTCCTGATTGCCAACTCCTTTTCCAGGGTTACAGGTAAACAGGAGAACAGAGACTAGAACACCCTAGTTCCAAGCAAGCGCTTCAGCATGAAAAACCTGTTAGAAAAGCCAGAAGCAACAGTAACATGCACAAAAAAAGCTTTTCTAGAAGTGTTAGGAAACGGAGCTTGGCTTTGCGCCAACAACAGAAAGCATGTCAGCAGCAAACTGAAAATGCTACACACTTATCTTATTTTGTCATCAATAGAACATTCCAGAACTCATTTATCCAACATCTGATAGACGGAAAAACTACTACGATGAAGGGACAACTGGCTAGAATGTGGACAGCCTCTCAAAGTCAAGACTTTGGACTTTCTTCCCAAGAAAACAAAGAACTGAGATTCTGCCTTGTCTGTGGAGCAAGACACACTACACCCAGGAGTATAAAAATCTAATCCCCAGAACTCGGGCCAAATTCCAATTTGGGGATATTTTTTCTGCCTAATAAGAAGTAACCTGTCAAATCAAAGTGAACCAAGCATTTTACAACACTTTCTGTTCTAACCACATTCCATAATTAGTCAACTAAGTTGACTTCATTCCAGTTTGACTTTCGTTAACTTCAGTAGACTTTATCATCAAACATGAAAATTATTACTACATCCCCATCAGCATGTTGGTAGTTAATGACAAAATTTCCCCACATCCCAACAACATCATACAGAATCATAGAATGGTTTGGGTTGGAAAGGACCTTAAAGATCACCTAGTTTCAACGCCCCCTCCCATGGGCAAGGACATCTTCCACTAGACCAAACTGCTCAAAGTCCCATCCAACCTGGCCTTGA